AATGTCGTACCAAGTAAGACATGGGACTTAAATGCATTTTGGTCCATAAAAAAAACAGTCTCTCAATTAAGCCCATCCCCATGTCTTTAGTCTAAAATACCCTCAATAATATAATTCTTATCAATTCCACCCAATATGATCTAACTTCCTTAATATTACACATTGACCCCGGATTCAAACAAATATATCACATTAACCCCCAAAACTTTTTTTTTTTTCAGAAAATAATTTTTTTTCTGAAATATTTATTCCGGCCAGATTCCGGCCAAATTCCGGCGTTGACCGCCGGTCTCCGGCGTTGACTTTTTTTTTTTTTTTTTTTTTTAATTTTTTTTTCTTGAATTTTTTTTCCGGCCGGTCAACCACTGTTGACCGCCGGTCTACGGCGTTGACTTTTTTTTTTTTTTTTTTTTTTTTTTTTTGAATTGTTTTTTCTTAGAAAAAAAATATTTTAATTAATATTACTGTCTTGACTACTAAATTACTGTCTCAGACAGTAATATTACTGTTTGGGACAGTAATATTATGAATATTATTTTTCCGAACAGTAATATTATTAATATTATTGTCTAAGACAGTTAAATTACTGTTGGAGACAGTAATTTAACATCCAAGACAGTAATATTAATTAAAATAAATTTTTTTTAAGGAAAAAAATAAAAAAATAAAAAAAAAAAGTCAATTAACAGTTAAATTACTGTCTCCGACAGTTAAATAACTGCTGGAGACAGTAATTTAGCAACGAATACAGTAATATTAATTAAAAATATTTTTTTTAAGAGTAAAAAAGTCAATTAACAGTTAAATTACTGTGTCCGACAGTTAAATAACTGTTGAAGACAGTAATTTAGCAACGAATACAGTAATATTAATTAAAAATATTTTTTTTAAGAATAAAAAAGTCAATTAACAGTTAAATTACTGTCTCCGAAAGTTAAATAACTGCCGGAGACAGTAATTTAGCAACGAATACAGTAATATTAATTAAAAATATTTTTTTTAAGAATAAAAAAGTCAATTAACAGTTAAATTACTGTCTTCGACAGTTAAATAACTGCTGGAGACAGTAATTTAGCAACGAATACAGTAATATTAATTAAAATATTTTTGAAGAAAAAAAAAAAAAAGTCAATTAATAGTTAAATTACTGTCTCCGACAGTTAAATAGCTGCCGGAGACAGTAATTTAGCAGCCAAGACAGTAAAATTAATTAAAATATTTTTTTTAAGCAAAAAAAAAAGAAAAAAAGTCAACGCCGGAGACCGGCGGTCAACGCCAGAATCTGGCCGGAAAAAAAATATTTCAGAAAAAAAATTATTTTCAGAAAAAATAAATTTTGGGGGTTAATGTGATATATTTGTTAAAATCCGGGGTCAATGTGTAATATTAAAGAAGTTAGAGCATAATGGGTGGAATTGATAAGAATTATACTATGGAGGGTATTTTAGATTAAAGACATGGAGATGGGTTTAATTGAGAGACTGTTTTTTTTGTGAATCAAAATGCATTTAAGTTCAATGTGATGGACATTTTTGCCATTCGCCCTTAAAAATGAAACTTATGTTTCTTTTTTTTCTTTTTCTGAAATCCCTTTTTGTGGACTACCGTCTTCGTTTTGATTGATATTTTTTTTTTCATTTTGTTTTTTAATATGGAAAATCCCACTTTGCCCTTCAAATGTAGCCTTTTGACACTCTCCACCCACAAAATACAATAAATCATTCACAATGCACCATGAATTGAATAATAAAAGCAATTTTAATTTTTATTAGTTTTTTCCGTAATACAAAATAACAAATTAGATTGTTATTTTCTTCAACCTCCAACCTAATTTAGAGCGCACAAAGTGCGAAAAAATAAAAATCACGCAGGATTATTAAAAAGAATTATATTTTCTTACAAAATAAAATAAAATAAACTTTTATCACTAAATTATTCAATTGATGGGTCTTTTATTACAACTGGTGGAAATATTAGGTAAAATATTTGGAATGGATATGATTTTCAGATAACTTGATAATGAAATAGCTGAATGATTTTTTTCATTAAATATTTTTTTGTGATAAAAAATGTAATTTTTAAATATGTTGATGAGATGTAATTTTATTCCTGCACTTTATAATTTCAAAATAATTGATGAATAAAAAAAACAGATTTGACATTTTTCATCATAAAATAATACAACTAAAAATATTAAATTATCTTGGGTTAATTGCATTTCGCCACCTAGACTTTGCCCGTTTTTGCACTTTACCACCTTAACTAAGAAAAGTTGCACGGTCGCCCCAAACATTAATTTTTGACGCACATAACCACCTGGAGGGAATATTCTGGCGAATCTTTCCACTTTTCGGCGCACACACGCTGCACATGCTAAAGTACATGGGCTTTTTCGTCTTTTCCTTTAACATCATTCTAAATGCCCTAGCAGTCGTTGACTTCCCCCATTTCATTTCAATTTCACATCTTCACAAAAAATCCCCTTTTCTATGTCAATCTAGGGCTAACATTGTGGACGATAAATTGCAATAATCTGAAGATCTTCTTAACTCTATCATGACTTGGAAGTTAAGGGAGGGTAATGACTTGGACGATTTTTGAAAAAATGCTCCAGAATATGGTATGCGTTCTTAGAATTCATATTATTTGCTTTTTTTTTTTTTATATATATACATAATTGTTTTATGTATTCAATGTGGTTGCACATCTTGGATTTGTTTATAATATACTATAGTGATTTATTTGTTTGTTTATAGTATATTTGTAGCACCCCCCTTGGGTCGGGCGATAAATCGAACCGGTTTATCGGAATACTTTATTTAGATAGCGGAAGCAAAAGGGATCTCTTTGTAATTTTTAAAACTTTCAAGTAGGACCAAAATGTAATTACTAAAAATCTCTTTTTGGGACATATGAAAACTTTTGGAAACCTTAAGAATTTTGAAAACTTCTTAGGGTGATCTTGGTCGTTTAAATTTTTCGTTTCGAAATAACTTTGGAAAGGGAGATTATTATTCGAGTGCTACATTTATCTAACTATAGGTTTCTTTTTTTTTCTTTTCTGGTTCGAGAAGGAATCAGAGTTTAAAGGTAGTTGGTGAGTAAGGATTTTTCGGGTAAGAAAATAAGCGGACAAACTATATTAATATCAAAATAAGGCCCATACTAAAATAAGAGTTTAATTCCCCTAGCGAGGAAATACTAGAGTTTTAGAGAAACGAAAATACGGAAATTGTTTTAAGTTTACATTACCAAACGAAAATTAGCATAATTTATAGACCCCTCGTACGACCATCAAAAGCTCCGGCCAAGACTCCGATCCACTACTCGGTCCATTCCTGCGAGGGATTACTACTACTACCTGCAATCAAGGAATTATCTATATGAGCTATTAAGCCCAGTAAGAAATCCGAATGGATAACGAGGTTTTAAAATATGGTTTTATGTACTTATAATATATACACATAAGCATCACATCTTACCATTCGTCGGCAAACGAACACACACACAAACACTTAATTTCATTTAAGCACGTAAATCGACTCAAAATACGGAAAATACCGGAATTACCTTTTCGTGCAAATGCATGAATGAAA